ACCCAAAGGAGACGAGGTGCTCTGTGTGTTCTGACCCACAACATGCTGCAGCAGAGCTGCTAACAGGAGACGATGTGTTCTGACCCACAACATGCCGGCAGCAGAGCTGCTAACAGGAGACGATGAAACAGGTATGTTTTCAGTTTATTTAGCTCAGCAACGGTGGCCTGTGAAGTCCAAAAAGGTGCATGTTTAATGCAGTTGGTTCGGTAAGAGTCCGGTCTGTATTCACACCAGAAGCAAACTGAAGCGAACTGCACCAGAGTTCGTTTGGAAGCGGACTGAGACCACCTCAAAAAGCAGGTCTCGGTCCGGTTGTTTGATCCGCACCAGAGTTCACGAGTGTATTCACACCTGCACAAAAGGTACGGACCAACGCTGGAAACGAACTCTGGTTTGTTTAAAGCAGAGCAAATTATCAGGTCTGAATACGACCTATAACAAAGTCAATCAAATTCAAAATGGCTGCCACAACCAACAAAACTTAAAAACTCTCGTAAAAATGGCTACAATTTGGTCAAATTTACAAATTGAGAGAAATCAGAGATTGAGCCTAGAGGAGTCGTTGTTGTGAAAAGGTAGAAGATGAGCACGGGAGGAAAATACGCCAAMTTAGCTAAAAGCACAAATGCACAAAAAGGCCAAATGATAATTATTGAGGGAGCTCTGTGGTTTTCTTGTTTCCTGAAAACAAATTAAATCAAAGWTCTATTGTAGCACAAGGGCCATCAGGTGTAATACTAAAAGAAAGCAATTAGGCCAGGCTGTCTGTGTAGGCTGCAAATGCAAATTTCATGGATGAACAAAATGAATTYACCAGCATTAAGATTCAGGCAGGACCTACGTGCAACATGGAAACACATACATGTGCAGGCTTTTAGGACTTTAAAATGTAGCTGTTACCTCTCAGTGCAACACAGAGAAGGATATTTTCAGAGGCGAGAGCAAATTTAGTCAGTGAAAACCACTTGAGAAACATTGTTCCAATACTTTGACACCACATCTTTGATTAACATGTCAATGAGAGGGTGTTTCACAGTGAACTAAGCATCAGTGACTGGGAAGAGGAAACTGTCTGAATGCAGCTCAGAAAGCGTGAATGCAGAAGAACCCAGCGCAGGCCATTTAGCACTACAATAAAWGCGATGTCACCGCTGCAACAGTTCACGTTTTGATGAAATTTCTCGCCAGCCTGCAATGATTTGGTTCCTGCTGCTTCTGAGAAAAAAGTTATCTGAACAGAGCCCAGCAGTTTTTAAAGCCCCTTCTCTCTTCAGTGCATGTTTCTCTTTGTGCATCTACATTGTGCATTTACAACAGCCTGAGGGAATCTGTGCTAAATGATRGGGCCCTCAAGACACTCAAGGCTTTCTTTATCTTACTCTCAATTATTCAGTTTATTTATGAACTTATAAATCTGACACATTTTGTGCAGCTACAGCATGACATTTCCCTCTTCATGCTTCTGATGTWTTGCTCTTAAAGAAATAGCACAGTTTTAAAAAAATGCTTCATAAATAAGTACATTTTTATTCCTACGTCTTTTTAAAAAGTATGTTATGGGGTATTTTTTTCTAAAAACAAAACAAAAAAAAAGAAATGGGTGAAAACATTTAAAAATATTTATGCAAAGCAGGAAATTAAACATAAAAAATATATACGGTGCATTATATTAAATGGTGCAGTTTTAGAGATGTACTGATGCGTTTCAGAATCATGGGTCCACATTCAATGTAAACAAATCGCATGCAAATTTACCAAAAAGGACATGGAAGTTGAGTCAGAGGATTGTTTTACCTTAGACTGGTTAAARTCTGTGTAGATAAATAAATGTGATTGTTGGTCTAGACGATCCTAAGGGGTTAAAAGCTAACTGAGCACAAGCCTGACTGTGTCTGGCTTTATAGACATGTATTTAAGTTAAATGCTAAATTTTATAGCTTCCACACAGCTCAGGTCAGAGAATTGTGATAAGTTTATCCCTTATGGTGTACAGCAAACTGCCTCTGTTAGTTTATAATAACCTTTCGTATTTTTTTCCGTTAAAATCAGCAACATAACTGTCTTATGCTAGGCAGTACAAATTGTCAGGGGTCCACTCCAAGCCCCATCCTCCAGTGTATGGCTCTCCCGGAGGCTCGTGTGCAGGGTGCACCTCTTCTGTCGCCTAGGTAATGGGTCTCTCTTCCCCCACATCAAACAACAAATTGCCTTTTGGAGGCAGGTCACCCTGCTGCTTAAATCAGACTCAAGTCCAGACCAGGCTGCCCATGACCTGARGGGTGAAGGTTTGATGTGAGGTGAAGCCTGTCAGTGAGTTGCAATCTTCAGAAACAAACTTTAGAGCTCAATCACTAGTGCAGTGCAATGACCTCGCCCTGGCCTTTATCTGAGAATGCACACACACACACACACACACACACACACGAAAAAAAAACTGTGTGTACTAAAATTATATTACGAGTGTCACAATACCTAGCAAATTAACCTTCATTATTGTAGCATGTAAGGGTTTTAAAGAACATAAATAGCTGAAGTATTATGAACACAAAACTCGTCAAGACTTGTGGTTTCGTTYAGAACCAAATTTAAACTGGAAAAGAAAGACTTACAATAGTTTAACTATGATGGGACAATATTGAAGTTAATTATCAATGCTTACTCTTAAAATGAGTGTTTAATGTTTATACCTGAATTAGGAACTGCTTTTAGACCTATTTAAAGGATATATTGAATTTGAAGGCATTRAGTGCTGGTGGTGCTATATACTTCTGGTAGTACTGCTTTTAAACATGTGATGGCAGCTCTGGTTCACAGTAATGTAAAAGATTCAGAAGCCTTTTATGTGGRACAGCTTATCCTCTTGGTTATTAATTTCTAGTCATAACTTGGACACATTGGGCCTCATGCAAGAACATGTTCGTATTCTTATCCTAAATTTCTCTTACTTTTGTTCGTACAAAGGGTTCGTACGAACATGTCACGCCAGATTCAACAAACTCTTCTATCTTCAGGAAAAGGGTGTAAATGAGCTGCATAAATTCACCAGTTCGTATCCAGCTGCTCATGCATGCGAGAGGAGATTAGCATAATTACCACCCCAAAAACACCATATAAGGCTRTGTTTCCTGCCTCAGATACAAGGAAGTGTCCATTCATGAAAAAGGACAGCAAAAACTAAAAAGAACTTTACGAGTTCAGAGATTGAAGTCCGTCTGTCAGAGATCCAGAAAAGAAAATCTGTCATTTTTAGCAGGTCAGCTGTGGAATAAAAAGAGCTGCTAAAAGTATAAACAACTGTGTTAAATCATTTTTCATTTATTCAGAAGCCACACCGTTGCGCACCGTAATATAAAGTTATTAGGGAGGAAAATCAGTCTGGATAACAGCACACTGACTGCTCGTGAAATATACGACAGGTCTGGACCACTCATGAATTTTGTTCGTATCTGAAAAAAAAATCTTCGAATACGAAAGCATTGGTGAATGCCACAAATTCTCCCAAATCACTCGTACGCACAACTTAAGAACAAATCTGTGTACGAACGGTTCTTGCATGAGGCCCATTGTTGCCTCAATCACTCAGTAGTTTATTATTTCTGATTTTACAAAGAAGCAATTCTCAACAGAGAATGCCTGTTCAGTGCTTTGAAAATGCTTCAGTTAATCTAAGCTGAAGTAGCTGTTGTGACTGAGATATTTTAGGTAACATTTACTGTTCATGCATGGTCCATGTGCTCTGTTTTGTGACTATGTTTGCATTGCAGGCAGCTCTTAGGCCTTGAGCTGACAGCTAAGCCTGTCAGCCACTGACTGATGCATCCCATGTGGCAGGCAAGATGAAAACCAGCCAGATTTGTGAGCGCTACAAGCAGTCAGTGGGACAGGGATATTATCTGGGGGCTGTCAGTGTCTGTAGTCTCTGTCATTTTGGCTCCACCGTGTTCCACTTCTGTCCCTAACATCACCTACTGTCATGTTTGGATTACCTACCAYTGCTAAAGTAGCAACAATGTTTGTTGCATGTTGGTGCTGCAGTCTTTTAAACGCCCACGACAACAATAAAACAGGTGGGATAGTACACAACTGAAAAAAGTACAGTAATGCTTGACGGCAGTCTTTACATTTGCTTTAAACCTTTCAGACAATAATAAGTAAAACAGCCAGCCAATCAAAATGTTTCACTCATATAAACTTTAACATATATATATTTTTTTAATTCATTGTCTTAGCTAGACTGTTTACACTAGCTGTAGCATTTATAGCTTTATGATGTTTTTGTTCCAGTTTAGATTAAATCCATGTTTCATGACTCTATTGTTGAGGCAGCTGCCTGGAGCTGTGGCCACAAGGTTGTTGATGCTTCTTGTAGTGGCAGTCTTCAAACTCAGTGGTGGACACCCCAGGTTAGGGAGGCTGTCAAGCTGAATGAGTTGTCCTATCGCACCTTGTTGGCTGGTAGGACTCCAGAGGTCTGTCCATAACTGGGGCTGAAGTTGCTGAGGTAGTTACAAAGCTCCATGGTGCCTTGGCTTTGGTGGGGATCTGCATCAAGTGAAGATCAAGTATTTTGGGATTTGGTTATCCAGTAATCCAGGAGAGACTCAGAGTAAAGCTGCTGCYCCTCCACATCCAGAGAAGCCAGTTGAGATGGTTTGGGAATTTGGCAGGGATGCCTCCTAGACGCCTCCATAGGGAGGTGCTTCAGGCATGTCTGAATGGGAGGAGACCCTGAAGGAGACCCAGGACACGCTGGGGAAACTATGTATCTTGGCTGGGAGGACTCACCTTGGAGTCCTCCCAGAAGAGCTGGGATGGATGGATGGATGGATGGATGGATGGATGGATGGATGGATGGATGGAAGGAATTGACTGGAATGTCCCCAAACATTAAAGTCTGATTTTGAAATTCAGACTTGTCAGCCATGATGTGAATTTCCAATATGGCTACCTTACTTATGAAAAGTTSTGGTAATTGCAAAAACAAACATTGATATGTTACATAAAGCAATACCAGATAGTTTTATGTTTTTGAGTTCTTTCTGCAATACAGTATATACAGTAACACCACTGACCTAAAAACAAGTGCCCGTCTGAGTCCTGCCCAACAAAAAAAAAACTGTTGTCCAGAGAACACAAACAAAAACAAAAAAGCTATTAAAAACTCAATGTCATGCAGAAAAGTTAGTTAGTGCAAGACCTAATGCAAGAAAATCTTGTATATTTAATTTGTTTCTTCTTTGTTTAATAATGGTTACATTTTCAGGACTGTTGTTTTTTCATTGCTTGAACAATAAGTTGTTTGGGCCATTCCGAGCCTCCTGACACACTGATTCTCTTTGTTTGCCAACACAAAGTTATTTATAACAGTGTGAAGCTAACAGTAATTGAACTGGAGAAATTTATGACCTTTATCATAATGTGCAGTCCTGGTATCACAAACGATAAACTGGACCACTGACGRCATAAAGCTCTCCTGAAAACGATCAGATAAATTCACAGCTCTTTTATCAGCTTAACTTTCCTTGGTTCTGGGAACAGATCAAATAAATCTGTGCAAATGCCCCAAAACGACACATTAGGCTACACTTATACACATTTTTAGCTAGTGTCTTTATTTTCTTAGTATAACATATTTAATATGTTTCATAATAATAAAGTAAAAAAAAATAATATTGGTTATAATTATTGCATTTTTGTCATMGTTAATGAGTAAATTTCAATGACGCATTTCTCCTAATCAGGTATGAGCCTTGTAACCGCATTCAATAAAAAGAAAATCTATTTAAAAAAATACACCATTGAGGGAAATGTATGAAAGTGATTATGACTCAGCCTTTTTGTGTCTAATTCAATACTGAATCACATAACTTACAAATTTAATGACTGTTGTTTTAGTCTGCACCCTGTGTTCAACAATGTTARTGAAAGTATGCCCGAATTCTCTGTATACAGTGTGTAGCATATACCAAGAAAACATTTAAAAAGAAAAGAAAATAACTCACCATCCACAGTATTATACTCCTTACTGGTCCAYTCCTTCCCAATTGAACGCCATTCCACTTTGTACTTCATGATGGGCACGCCCCCCCTGGAGTAAGGCTCCTCATACTCTACAACTGCTGTGCTTGAGAAGGGTTCCACTTTTAGTATTTCTGGTGATGATGGAACCTCTGTACCAGCAGACAGAGAACATTTTTTTACTTACAAAAGTGTATTTTAAAAGCAATACAGCAAAAAAGTGCTTTAATTTGTAAAATAAACGAATTACTACAGTTTACAATCTGTATTTACCTTTTTCACACAGTTAACCTCAATGCAATACTGTTGCCTTTCAAGGCACATCTCAGTCCTGTATGTGTGAAGAGATTAAACGGGACTGAGGCTTCAAACCAAGTTCAGTTTAATCTCTGTATGTTGGTGAAGTGCTGCAGGTGTGTCTTAACTATTTCACATGCTTTTAACAAGGACAGAACTGCAGTTATAGCCACAACGCCTCCGGTTACCAAACGACTGAAGCACTGTTAGACATGACTAAATGGTTTTCCAGTGACAGATTTAGTTCACGCCTGTAAAACACTTTGATTCATGATTAAAGGACTGAGCGACGCGGTCACAGAAACAGCACACCACACAGTTTAACTTTCCTCCACGGACARAGTTACACTGGTTTGAATCTTTCAAGAGGAGAACTTTATGATGGAAAGGCAGAAGTTGGGTCTTCCTATAGCTTTTGCTTTAATCTTTTTATCACCTTACAGTCATGGTTAGACTGTATAAAACTGTAAATATATGCTTCCCCAAGCCAGAGTCCTCTAAAGCTGAGAAACAACTTGTCATGTTTTTCACGTTTCTGTCAAGTTCGAGCTCACATTTTCAAACAGAAAGGTCAATTTTTATATCAGACAAAAAGTTTTCACGAAGAATGAACTTTTTGTTCTCAAGGATTTTCTTTTTTATGTACCACTTTATCTATACTATGGTTAAAATACATACTAAAACCAAAGCTATTATCCTAAGCTAGAGATGTTTTGAACTTTTACCTTAATATAGGCAATGCACAATTTGTAGGCAACAAAACACACAGATATATCACAACTATGACCCTGTTAAATCCTGTCAAYGTCTGATCATTTAAAGTGCTTTTTTTCAAACAGCACATTTTGCAATTGCATTTTCATATTTTACACTGTACAAGTTGAAATAGAAATATTAAAACATTATTATTAGTAGTAGTATTAGTAGTGGTAATGGTAGTGGTACTAAAGAACAAACCTGCTTGAATGAGAAGAAACTCTTTGGATTCAGCGCCCATCATATTGGCTGCTGTACAGTTGTAGCTCCCAAAGTCATTTTGTGATTCTGGTGTAATCTGAGGAACAAAAACATACAAACTCACAAGGTCTGGGTGAGACACGAGATAAAAAATAATAATAATAAAAAAGGTAAAACCACTGGATCATTACATGTTGGTTTAATAACAGTGTGCACCACTCTTAAACAGGAAACTGTCAATCATTAACACATTTATAGATTGTCTGATTACTTGTTGGTTTTTCATGTCATCGTTTAAAACCTTTTCAGTCTCACAGAACTTTAGTATCTTTAGTTTCTGTAATTATTACTAGAATTTAGATCTGTAAAGAAGGCTGGGTCATCACCTCCAGGTAGCTGGTGGTTGGTGTATTGTAGATCTTGATGCTGGTTGAGTTGGGACTTGGCAGCTGGATGCCATCTCTGAACCAAACCACAGAGGCTCCAGGATGAGCGTCAACCTCACAGCTGATGTTGGCTGGATTTCCTTCCCACGTGTATCTCGCCACTAAACCCGAGATTTTTGGAGAATCTAAAAAAGCGTGAAAAGAACATGGCATTTACAGTATTAGGCATTTGTTAAACAACAAATTTACTTTGAATTTAAACAAAGAATGCTAAAAAATAATACTGACAAATGTTTGCAGGACCTTTTATTACCAGAACTTAATGCTCTAAAATAAAAATAAAATGAAAATATCAATACTTTGATACTTTAGTTATTTCGTAATCTAAATTGTCAACAGGAAAGAAAGAAAGAAAGAGAAAGAAAGAAATAAACTAAACTATTGAACTCTTTTCAAATCATGTGCAGTTTGAGAGAACTACTTTTTCTTCCACCTGGGTAATGAGTAAGCAAAACAGTACATGCTCAGATGTTAAAAGTTTGGTATTTTCATATTATTATGTTCATATAACACAAATTAAGATGCACATTTTCATCTCTTTAGTAGTTCTTAATAACTAAACAATAATTAATTTTGATTGTTTCACTATTTTAATTAAACTTTTCGTGTTCAAAACACATTTGTCACATATTTTGTATGACTTTCTGTTTTTGTTGTGGTATTAGGTCAACTATATTGTAAATGAGGATGCCACATCAATATACTTTACAGTCTAAAATGAATAAATAAATTATTCTGATGTCTTGTATTCTTTTAAAGCAGTTGAAATATGCAATTTTTTAAAGATTCATTAGTCACATTAGGTGTATTTGCATARATTATAAGTATTGGGTCAGTATCACCAATACCAGCCTGAGTTTTACTCTTTATCAGAATCTTTAGTTGGTGGTGATGAACATCAAGACATTTAAATGATTGTCAGGGCTATAGATGCAGAGTTTGTCACATTTTAACCAGAAAACCCAACCTAACTGACTTGATATATGCCTCAAAATCTGTGACAACACTAGTGAGAGAAAAAAATAGTGAAATAAAGGGGATTTAAATACACATCTAATCAGCTGAAGTTCAGTAAAATAGGCACTAATACATCTGGGTAATTTCCATCTACGAGGGGTTTTTCTGGGTCCTTATCCAAAAGTGTTGCTATTAAAAAGATGCTTGGCAAAGCTCTTTTGGAAGGAAAAGAAATTAAATGAAAAATATATATATATAAAAACACAAAAAGATACAATCAGCCATGTCTATTTTAAGTCCTCTATCTTAAAGAAGCAAAGAATTGTGGGATTAGAAATRTGTCCCTCTTCCTCTGATTCCCTGAAGCACTTCTCTGGTCTGGCAGCACTTATCAAGGCCACAGATAAAATACATTTTCAGGGAAATGCACAATATAAAGTAGTATAACAAACACCTGCAGAATACCTCTTTTACCTGGCCTAATTTTCATATKTAAGCAAAATAGAAGAAAACTACCCCAACAAATTAAATGTTACAGCTATGCAACTTTTCWTGCAGAAATAAAAGGCAAAATCCCACAAGACAGAGTTAAATGTGCAAAACAAATTTCAAGACATTATAGCTAAACAAACTTCTGCTGCTTGGAAAACAGAGCTCAAACAGAGACTATTTTAACAYGTTTCTACTGTATCAGTGCCTCAGCAGCAAACCCAGATAAACCCAGGCCAGCTAATGGGATCATGCTGTGCAGCAGATAGGCGGTTCCATCCTTTGATAACGTCTTCATTGTGTGAGTGGCGATGGAGGGCAGAGAGTGAGAGCTCTGCTCACAACAAAAGTACCTTTCCTTATCAATAATTACTTGGCAACAATGAATCAGCTACCTGATTATTTGCTGATTCCTCTGTCTAACTGCARGCCCCTCAAACAACTCTATCAATGTCGCATTGTGATGATATCTAGCAAGCACACCAAGAACGGGACTTATTAATCCAATTAGTCATATTTTCTTTTTCCTGGTTCCCCCCTTTTTTACTGTTACAATTATAGATTTCAAAATGAAAATTAGAAATTTCTGGAATGTTGATGGTTCTCATTGGCTAAGCCCAGATAAGGAGCAGAATTTCTAATAACCCACAGAACGAGACTCATTCTGACACTATTTGATTCTGTAAAATCACTTCCCCAACTACTATCGTCCTGATCCTGCCAGGTTCCAATCTGAAACATCTCCATTTCTCAKTATGACCTTTTACACCAATCTTAAGGGTTCAGACTTGTTCTAAAGGTTTAAAAAGGCACTAAAGTATGTCAGAACCTGGAACTTTGACCCAGAAAAGGCTGCTTTGTATTAGACGGTGACCCATTTATCTTGATAAGAAATGTTGAGCTATTCTCAGTTCATGTTTGCAGCATCTAAATCCACCGGTTTTGATGACCAGAATGTAATTAATCCAAGAAGAGAGATTATCCCAATTTTATTTATCTAAAAACCTTGGGAACACAATGACAAATACCCTATCACATCAGTTGTATAGTATCATTTAAATGTGACTCTATGTGTCAATAAGTAGTACTGACCAAAGGTTCAATGTTTGTTTAAAAAACAACTATTACTGTATGTGTTTTTTTTCTGACAATAAGTTAGAGGTTTTCAACCAAACCATGTCAAGAATCGGACAACTCAAACATTCAATTAAAAAAGAGAAAACAAGAGATTATATGTGTGTTGAAATAAGGGATTAACCACTCAGTCAAGTGTAAAGAGAGTAAAGTGACTCACAGCGAACTTCCAGGTACATTTGCTGGTTGTCTTCCCCAATAGAATTGCGGGCAGTGCAGAGATAACGGCCGGCGTACGTGAACTGGACACTTTTTAAGGTGAGGGAGGACACCCGTGCGTGGCTGTGCACCACAACATTCTTATCAAGGCTCTACGGAGAAGAAGTGAAACAAATTATTCTCACATGCAAATGGGTCACCTTTAAAGAGGAAATACATTGTGCCTTCTATCTCAGAGATGGGAGCTACATCCGTGACTGACAGGTGATGTGGCTGAACAGAAATATATGAGCTAGATAAAAGAAATACAATGCATTTGTTTGAACTTGTTGATAATATAGTTGTATTTTACATGACTCGTACACCATCATCGACTTTAAAATTTGTATAAAAAAGAGACAAAATATTCAGTTAGGGTCGTTCATGTGGTTAATGTACAYATGCACATTAATCTTTAAAAAGCACCACAGAGGCCTCTGAGAAACRATCCCAGCTCGTCCTGGAGGGCAGTAAGTGTAAATAAAACTCCCTGAAACAAGAACTACAAACGCCTGTTGTGCATTGATTACTGTCTTCAGTATTTGGACGTCTTCTTGCAGGTTTACAGGGATTCTAACTACAGCGAGAGCAGTATAATCACAGTTRGAGCAATTAGCTCGTTAAAGCTTGCATTTATTTTCATTAGTGCATCACACCTCTGCCCCCTTTGTCTGTTGCTTTTGTGAGGCTGACGAGCCGCTAAGGATGTTTTCTGCTCCAACAGGTTAACAGATGGCACGAGTTCYTCCACTTTATAATTAAGTAGTACAATGGCTGAATCTCACTTCATGGGTTGCAACCGGCGTAGACCGCGGCCCACATTGGCCACAGTCTACGTGGAACATAGGGCGCTCGTGTCGGYTGCATAAATGCCTGTGAAATTTGACGGCCTAGTCTACAAAAGATTTGCCTCGTTATAGTGATACATTTTATATCACTTTGCTTCAGTTGTTTTTTTCAAGGTATTACCTCACAAAATTCAGTTTTAATAAAAAAACATTACAAGTAAATCAATTAAAAGCATTAATAATTTGAGTTTAGCTCCAGTGGCAATACTTGTAACTGCATTTTATTTAACATCTTATTGCAACAAATGTTTCTTCAGCTAAGTTGCTTATTTAGCATTATTCGGTCTGTAATGAATTTCCAAACTCTGTCATAAAAAAAAAAAAAAAACTCTGCCATGACATTAAAATAAAACCCTCGTCATCTTTGTTTGTCTGTTTAATTTGCTGATGGAGCAATTATTTCTGGGATATTGTCGGCCATGTATGATACACAGATGCAGCCGACATATTGGGGTTTTGATGGTCACATTTGCCAACGTCGGCTGCAACCCATGAATTGAGACACAGCTGATCTGATTTAATCCTCTATCTCTAATGTATCTTGATGTACATCATTTGTTTTATGATTCAAWATTTTATTCTTTCTTTCTGTGGCATTTGCATTATACATTTTTGTAAGCAAGTTACCAGCCAGTAATCAGTAATATATTTATAAAATGAACAACAACATTTGAGGCTTAATAAAATAAAATAAAATAAAAAACTGTAGCCTTCATAAATATAGCAACAGTTTTTTTTTTCTTCTCTCTTGGCAACACACAATTCACATAAAAACTGGATGTACTGTACATTTTCCTTCCAGCTGCCACAATGTCCATTTAATATTTTAGGCACTTTTTAAAGTACTTTAATCATGCATTTTGTATTAGCTTAATGTGAAAAAGCTGCAACTTTTTTAAAAAAAATTCTACACATGGTGATGCAGATGTGTAAAGAATATTGTGCTGTTTACTGAAGCTCTTAAGGAGTGTCCTGAAACATTTTGAAAGGGCAACATTAATCTTGTCTCCCTGCAGTAACACAGAAAAATAGCTGGAGCGAGTACACAGTTAGAATGTAAACAGAGAAAGGTTAATGAAAAATAATAATTTAATGATACCGCAGGAACAGAAGCAAAACAGCCAAGCCTCAGAGTGATTTATTAGTTAACTCTAATAAGGAGATGTTAATATTTCAAATCTGACTGGTCATCAAATTGATTGCAGTGGTAAAGACGTAAAAAAAGGGATTTTTTTTTTGGTTTGTTGTTTTTCCTCTACAAATATCCCTCAAACAAAAGTAGTCATTTACTTAGAAAAACAAAATGAAATACTGTTGTGAAATATTAAAATAAATCACAGAAGTAATATCAAAGAAAACAATCAAATCCTGATGCACTGGATGCAGATGTGACTTGTAGGTTCATAAAACTGAAATTCAGTAACACAATAATAGTCCGACACTGACTCATCATGTCGAATAAACAAAGACAATAACTAGAACATTTACGAATGAACCAAAGCTGTCAATCAAAGTCAAGAAGCCAACTGTTCCTTTTCAGTGGGAAACAAATATTCGGGTTTTGCAAATTACCATTTCTTTGTTGATGCAATATGAGAAAAGTTAATTTTATATTTTTGCTTGTTGATGCGTGCACGGTGAGACGTTAGCTTGTTAGCTTATGTGACGATTTTTAAAGGGTTATCAAAAGGCCAAGAGATTGCATGTCTTTCCAACAAAACCATAACTGTTATTGGATTTTTCATTAATTTCACTTGTCGTCCCTCCATTTTGTATGCATAATCATGAGCTACTGACACCGTCTCATTCACGGTATTAGAAAATGAATGCACGCATTTCCTCTATGATTAAACCAGTCACAACCTGGACAAGAAAATAACAACTTTATATGCACCAGCAAGGACRAGTGAAATATGCTTGGTATTGATACAAACTGACCCATCATAGATGAAGCCCCAGGTGACTAAATGGGTCAAACAGATAATTGGTTTGAATAAAAACATGCAGACCTCTTGCCCGTGACAGGAAGTTTAGAGTTATGTGCGTTAGAGCCATGCCTCACTCACAGCAGAGCAGACAGTGTTTTTCTATAACACTGTAAAATTGCAAATCAATTTAAAACGCAGTGCAAAAAACAATATATATATAAATATTTTCATTTTTAAGAAATAATTTGAAGACTGAGACCTAACCAGACCATGCAGCAGGAAAAACAAAAACTGGCATGGCTGGAATTTAAAAAAAGAACAGCTTTGAGATAGTCTTACCTCTCAAGAATAAAATTGTCGACAAGAATAAACAGGGACAAGTAAATAGGGCAAGGCTAAATGTGTACTGGAACTAAGTGGATKAAATGAACTGTACAATGTGTCTAATGGCCTACACGTTTTGGCTACAACTAAAATGTAGAGCGTGTTAAATGTGAGCTAGATGACAACACCTCTGCTCTGCAGTAGAAAAAGGTAAAAGAGGAAGTCTGGCGTGTAAGTTTGGGGTRGTAGTACTTTGAGTCACACTGGAGTATTTAGTAGCAATACCTCATATTTGTCTGGTCGCGTCCATGAAGCCTAAAAATGACAAAGGAGGCAAAGACAGGTATTGATATAGTGGAGCAATTTAAGCTTTTAGAAAGGATTCACAGAGCGCATTTATCTGCAATAATCTACAGATCACACCAGTGAGTTTGARTCTTTAAACCCATTATATTTAAACACCTTAAACTGATGCCATTTTAGTGCAAGACATATCTAAGAACAAGTTTTTCCCCCTGCTGCTAGTGCTTTAAAATACCATACTCCAACGGCTTCATTGTACAGACTGGAAAATTGCTGTGTGTGTGTTTAAATCTTAAACCAGTATTTTAATCKTCTAAAGTGGCCTGCATTTAAACTAAATGTTACTGCAGTTTTTATTCTAAACAAGTGTTCAGATTACTTTACTTGTTGATTAACAATTAAACCCCAACCTATAAATTATTGAAGCCTAAAAAAGGCATCAAGGGAGGAATCTGTGTTGTGTCTATAAATAACAGACATGTCTGTCAAGATCTAATTTTAATTAGGATATTTGGGTAGTTTGGACAAACACATAGTTTGTTGAACATATAGAAAATGTCAAATAAGACTTGAAAAGCATTATATGGTGGGTTTTGCATTAGAAAGCCGATTATTAGCCAACACCAAGATGACCATTTGCTGATCTTTATAACTGTGAGGTTTGATTGGTTGATGTCTTAGCAAGTTCATTCAAATACCAGATGGATTGTGTAGGACTAAAATGTACGCATRATGTAGCCTTTTTTTAAAGATACATAATTAAGTTTCAAATTAAACCAATTTTTATATCCTGGTTAAAAAAAACACAAAACAAACAGAATAGACTGAACTGCTGTTTTTACAGAACACAATGAAGAAAAAGGCCAGACAAAATTACAGTTAAGAAAAAAAATAGATATAGCACTGAAATATTTTCATTCTTTTGGCTGTAGGATATGAGTTTGTAAAAAATGTATTTCACAATATTTTTGTAAAAAACATTTTCTGTGTGTGTGTGTGTGTGTGTGTGTGTGTGTGTGTGTGTGTGTGTGT